TTCCCATAGACTCCTAAACCTTGTGTGACAGCCTTCCCAGAAGAGTTGAAGCTGTTGTAGCTGCAAAGGGTGGGCCAATTCAATATTGATCCCTATGGACTAAGAGTGAGATGACATTAAAGTTCATGTGTGTGTAAAGGCAGGTGTCCCAATATTTTTGGCAATATAGTGTATATGTATATATATATATATATATATATATATATATATATATATATATATATACTGTATACAGTCACCGGCCACTTTGTTAGGTACACTTGTTCAGTTGCTTGGTAACACAGATTGCTAATCAGCCAATCACATGGCAGCAACTCAATGCATTTAGACGTGGTGAAGACAACTTGCTGAAGTTCAAACTGTGCAGCAGAATGGGGAAGAAAGGGGATTTAAGTGACTTTGAATGTGGCATGGTTGTTGTTGCCAGACGAGCTGGACTGAGTATTTCAAAAAAACTGTTGATCTACTGGGATCTTCAAGCACAACCATCTCTAGGGTTTACAGAGACCAGTCCAAAAAAGAGAAAATATCCAGTGAGCGGCAGTTGTGTGGACAAAAATGCCTTGTTGATGTCAGAGCTCAGAGAAGTATGGGCAGTCTGGTTGCTGCGACATTCAGATGGTAGGGTCAGAATTTGGCGTAAACAACATGAAAGCATGGATCCATCCAGCCTTGTATCAACAGTTCAGGCTGGTGGTGATGGTGTAATGGTGTGGGGGGATATTTTCTTTGCACTGGCAAGGTGTGCACAGTTAAAATAGGTGCTAGCCAAAAATTACACTTATAAGCCAGTAAAAAGAGCATTAATGATGTGTGGTGTGTATTAACCCATAGCAAACAAATTTACTCATTTAAAGGATAAGTTCATCTTTTAACAAAAAATAATAAATGCACATTTTTTTTGCAAAAAATGTGCAATTACTATTTTTCGTTTTGAGAGCCTGGAAAGCATTGCACCAGCGATCAGCAGATCACTGGTGCCATGCAGGACTCCTGCAGACCTGTCAATGTATCTGTGTGGTTGAATTTCATATGGCAAGCAGATACACACTGAAAGGAAGAATTAATTAACTACCACAGAGCTCAACAGAGCCACGGTAGTTCTCTGAGAACTACAAGCCAACAGCTGCAAAGGCTTTCATAACTTGTAGTTTTTCCATTTACAGAATACTGCCACAGCTGCTTTTTTAAAACTTTGGCAGCTAGCGGGTAGAGAAGATCCCCCACTAGCTGTCAAAATGGTGGATTGGGGGGTGGGGGGGGGGGCAGCGGAGGGCGTCCCTTTCAAAATATGTTACATGTTACACCCTGAATATAAGGGAAGGTGAACTTATCCTTTAAATACTTCTCTGTAGGAAACAAATGGGTGATCACTGAACAATTAGTACTTTTGCTTCTGTTGTGATTATTTGCTATATGCTGATGATATAATGCTGTTTGATATGAGTGTTTCCATTTTCTGGATACCTTTGCAGTGTTTGTCTCTATTATTATTGTTTGGCTGTCCCCATTTATGGCTCTATAGAGGAGTTTAGAACTAGAAGTGAATCTGAACTTGTATAGCTATATCCAATAATTATTTTGCTGGGTACATTTTCACTTTAGATGAGCTGGAATGACTAACTTATCAGTTGTTATACAGGATTAGACTGGCCCATCAATGGACTGAAGAATATGTCCTGTACCCTCAAATAAGATTGGCTTAAGGACAAAGTGAGTGGGACAATCTAGTCATCAGCATGGGGCATGAGGATCCTACTCAGGTAAGTGATCACTAAACACATTTCGACATTCCGAATCCCACTCGCACCATGGATGGGGCAGTCCTACCTACTGACACCAATGATGGGGCATTATTTTTCCTCTCCATGACACCAGCAATGAGTATTGTGATGAATGTGGTGCCCAACCCCTGCCCTTCTCACCAACTTGTGACAAAGGACCGGCCAATCACACACTATGTTGTCACTTACGTAACAATGCCACTTTCAGCTGCACCATGCACAAAGATTTTCCAGCTTGTGGGACCACAATCTTAGTGCCAACAGACTGAGAGTGATTGTCACTGGGTTACATTACCTAAGCAATTAACGCTTTAAACTCCAAACTGCCACCAGATAACTTTGGGCCTATCAACCTTTCACAAAATTAGCAAGAACACATGTAAACAATACATGTCTGTATACACACTGTCACCACAGACAGGATTATTCAGAGATTTATCACATGCAGTAGCACTCTTCAGGAGACAACAGGGATTCCTTAGTTTGCATTAAAAGCCTTAGGGACAATTTCAACACTTTCCAAAATAAGGTTTAATAATCAAAAGGTCAAAATGGTGCAAATAAAATATTTACAAAAAATATAGTGTTACAAGAAATATAGTGTTACAAGAAAAAGTCCCACTATTTGTCTTTCTTTTTGTAGACCCTATAAGCACAGACCGCTATTATTTCCTTAAAAGAATCAATTTAAACTGCATCAGAGTGTATGTAGGGAAGTGAGGGAAGAGACAGAAGAGCTAGCGCATAACGTAATTAGACATTCCCAAAAGAGGAGAGGACTATGGAGAGGGAGTGGGCTCTGTTATGGAACTTACGATTCCTGAAGTAGTCAAATTGTTTGCGAGTTTAAGCACATTGCAAGTCAATAATTTTTTTTATGGAAAGAAGAATGCTGAAATAAAAATCTTTTGTACTTTTATCTATAATTTTTTGAGTTGGTAATAAATTGGTCTTATTAAACAGTGCCTTACGGTTAGTTCAAAAGCAACTTTTAGAAACTATAGCATAAACCAATACACAGTAATCATAGGAAACATTCAACTTGCTTGTAATGTAGATGGGAAATGCAGTTATACAGTTGCAAGAAAAAGTATGTGAACCCCTTGGGATTACGTGGAGTTTTGCATGAATTGGGCATAAAATGTGCTCTGAACGTCATCTAAGTCACAACAATAGAAGAACACAGTCTGCTGAACATAATACTACTACACAAACATTAGATGTTGCCATGGTTTAATTGCACATAACATGTAAACATTCACAGCGCAGGGAGGAAAAAGTATGTGAGGCCCTAGCTTAATGACTTCTCCCAGAGCTAATTGGAGCCAGGAGTGAGCCAACCTTGACTCCAATCAGTGTGATGATATTGGATGTGTTGCTGACACCTGTTTTGGGTTTACCGGTTTCAAGAAGACCTGTCTGATGTGAACCATGCCTCGCAGAAAAGAGCTCTCAGAAGACCTATGATCAAGAATTGTTGACTTGCATGAAGCTGGAAAGGGTTACAAAAGTATCTCCTTGAGCCTTGATGTTCATGTGTCCATGGTAAGACAGACTGTCTACAAATGGAGAAAGTTTAGCACTGTTGCTACTCTCCCTAGGCGTGGTCGTCCTGTAAAAATGACTGCAAGAGCACAGCGTAGAATGCTGCATGAGGGAAAGAAGAATCCCAGAGTGTCAGCTAAAGACCTACAGAAATCTCTGGCACATGCTAACATTTTTGTTGACACATCTACAATAAGGAAAACATTAAACAAGAATGGAGTGTACATGGGAGGACACCACGGAGGAAGCCATTGCTGTCCAAAAAGAAGATTGCAGCACGTTTGAAGTTTGCAAAAGAGCACCTGGATGTTCCACAGCACTACTGGCAAAATATACTGTGGACAGATGAAACCAAGATTGAGTTGTTTGGGAAGAACACACAACACTATGTGTGGAGAAAAAAAGGCACAGCACACCAACATCAAAACCTCATCCCCACTGTGAAACATGGCGGAGGGAGCATCATGGTTTGGGGCTGCTTTGCTGCCTCAGGGCCTGGACGGATTGTTGTCATTGATGGGAAAATGAATTCCAGAGTTTATCAAGACATTTTGCAGGAAAACGTACGACCATCTGTCCGCCAACTGAAGCTCCGCAGAGGATGGGTGATGCAACAAGACAATGACCCAAAGCATACAAGTCATTCAACAAAACAATGGCTGCAACAGCACAGAATACGCCTTCTGGAGTGGCCCAGTCAGAGTCCTGACCTCAACCCGATTGAAAATGCTGTGGTATGACCTTAAGAGAGCGATTCACACCAGACATCCCAAGAATATTGCTACACTGAAACAGTTTTGTGAAGAGGAGTGGTCCAAAATGACTCCAGATCGTTGTGCAGGTCTGATCTGCAACTACAGGAAACGTTTGGTTGAGGTTATTGCTGCCAAAGGAGGGTCAACCAGTTATTAAGTCCAAAGGTTCACATACTTTTTCCTCCCTGCACTGTGAATGTTTACATGTTATGTGCAATTAAACCATGGCAACATCTAATGTTTGTGTAGTATTATGTTCAGCAGACTGTGTTCTTCTATTGTTGTGACTTAGATGACGTTCAGAGCACATTTTATGCCCAATTCATGCAAAACTCCACGTAATCCCAAGGGGTTCACATACTTTTTCTTGCAACTGTATGTGATTGTTTCACATGTAACACAATAAGTACATCTGCAAAACTGGCAAGAGTTGAAAATAGGTATATTGCATTAAATGTATTCTTATATTGGTTTCTAGTTTATACAGTGAGGAACAGAAGTATTTGAACACCCTGCGATTTTGCAAGTTCTCCCACTTAGAAATCATGGAGGGTTCTGAAATTCACATTGTAGGTGCATTCCCACTCTGAGAGACAGGATTTAAAAACAAATTCAGGAAATCACATTGTATCATTTTTAAAGAAATTATTTGTCTTGCACTGCTGAACATAAGTATTTGAACACCTGAGAAAATCAGTGTTAATATTTGGTACAGAAACCTTTGTTTGCAATTACAGAGGTCAAACATTTCCTGTAGTTCTTGACCAGGTTTGCACACACTGCAACAGGGATTTTTGGCCCACTCCTCCACACAGATTTCCTTTAGATCTGTCAGGTTTCGGGGCTGTCGCTGAGCAACATGGAGTTTCAGCTCCCTCCAAAGATGTTCTATTGGATTTAGGTCTGGAGACTGGCTAGGCCACTCCAGAACCTTGATATGCCTCTTACGGAGCAACTCCTTGGTTATCCTGGCTGTGTGCTTCGGGTCGTTGTCATGTTGGAAGACCCAGCCATGTCCCCTCGGCTTTCCGCGGAGGGGACATGTACACTGATCATCGGGGCACTGATGATCAGTGTGCCCTGATGATCAGTGTAGCCCCAGCAGTAGCACCTGTCAATGTCCATCAGTGCCTTGTGTCAGTGCTCATCAGTGCCTCGTGCCAGTGCCCATCAGTGCCACATCAATGCCACATATCAGTGCCTACCAGTGCACACCAATGCCACATATCAGTGCCCATCTGAGCTGCCTTTCAGTGTCACCCATCAGTGCCACCTATTACTGTCAATCAGTGCCAGCCATCAGTGCTGCCAATTAGTGCCACCTATCAGTGCCAGTCAGTGCCACCAATCAGTGCTGCCAATCAGTGCCACCTATCAGTGCCAGTCAGTGCCGCCTATCAGTGCCAGTCAGTGTCGTCTATCAGTGCCAGTCAGTGCCGCCTATCAGTGCCAGCCAGTGCCGCCATTCAGTGCGCATCAGTGCAGCCTATCAGTGCCTGTCAGTGCCACATATCAGTGCCAGTCAGTGTCGCCTAACAGTGCCAGTCAGTGCCGCCTAACAGTGCCGCCTATTAGTGCTATATATCAGTGCCATGTATCAGTGCTGCCTTTCAGTGCCCATCAGTGATGCCTGTCAATGCCCATCAGTGCCACCTACCAGTGCCTCCTCATCAGTGCCCATCAGTGCCACCTATCAGTGTCCATCAGTGCAGCCTATCAGTGCCCATTAGTGCAGCCTCATTATCGCACATCAGTGAAGGAGAAAAATCACTTATTTACAAAATTTTATAACAAAAACTAAGAAAAAAGTTTTTTTTTTTTCAAAATTTTCAGTGGTTTTTGGTTTGTTTAAAAAAAAAAAAACAACCCAGAGGTGATTAAATACCACCAAAATAAAGCTCTATCTGTCACAAAAAAATGATAAAAATGTCAAGTGGGTACAGTGTTGCATGACCGCGCAATTGTCATTCAAAGTGTGACAGCAGAGAAAGCTGGAAATTGGCCTGGGCAGGAAGGGGGGTATAAGTGCCCTGTAGGCTTGTGGTTAAAAATATTTATTTCACTGCTAAATGTAGGTTGTTAGTTTGTACTTAAAATATGTACTACATTTTACACATGTAAAATGAATTTGTGGTATGCAGTGTTATGTATACAGATATGTATTAAGTTTCTGTAATTTATTTTGGATTCTGAGATGTATTTATTTAATGTGGCTACTAAATATGCATGTGGCATTTGATATCATTGAAATATCAATAAAGTGAAAATAATAATATGTATCTGGCTACATGCCAATGCCTCTCTAATAGAGGTATGTGAAGTTTTCTTTCTACGGTATTTACAGCTTGGGGCTTAATACCTGATATCATTTAAAAGAAAGAAGATACTTTTAAATAATAAAGTCCTTAATTGCAAAATAAATGCCTCTGAATTTTTAAGAATACATTTTAATGATATTATTGTTTTAGGTGCCGAGTATGACCATGTCATGAAATAAAAAAAATATGGTATTTTCTTGTTAGGTTTGCAAAGGACCTCAAAAGTAACTGAAGTGTACTGCAGATCTTGTTTGCATAAAGTTAAAAACACTTTTTAAAGACATTTTTGCTAATTAAAGGATATTGAATATATGGGCAGCACAATGGCTAAATGGTTAGCACTTCTGCCTGGCAATACTAGGGTTGTTGGTTCGAATCCCAGCCATGGCACCACCTGCCGGGAGTTTGCATGTTCTCCCTGTACCTGCATGGGTTTCCTCCGGGTACTCTGGTTTCCTCTCACACTCCAAAGACATGCTGGTAGGGGAGTTGGATCCTGTCTAAATTGGCCCTAGTATGTGTATGAATGTGACTTAGGGACCTTAGATTGTACACCCCTTGAGGGTTAGGGACTGGTATGAATGCACAATATATATGTAAAGTGCTGTGTAAATTGATGGCACTATATAAGTACCTGAAATAAATAAGGCTTCATGCACACTGGGGCTCTTCTAAACACTGTTCTCCTTGTAGGAGAAGAGCAACTGCAAAAACACTCCTAAGCTATGTTTTTTAAAAGGTGTGTCATGGTGTGCCTGCCAGGGAGCTTTCTCTCCCACCCCTCTTCTAGTGCCTGTGTCCCTTCATACCCCCCTCTTCTCATCCTGTAGCGGCCCTTTGAAGCCAGGCCACACAGGATGAGAAGTGTTACTTTTCACCCCTGCCGCGGTCCCCTTCCTCCCATCCCATGCAGCCGGGCGGGAGGAAGATGACCCCCCCTGCGGCGAGATTCACACCGCTCCTAGCCATACTGCCCGGAGAGGGGTGACCTCCACCGGGAGGTTCTGGGACAGGGCTGCCGGCTTGATGCCGCACGCCCCCCCCGGCGGGTGCAGCACGGGCACAAGGCTTTCCATGCCTGCACCCACAGGAGACAAAGGCCGCGCTCTTGAGAGTGCGGCCCGTGTCGAGGGGGCATGCCTCATTGCCCGGGCAACACGGCACGCCGCCCGATGTTGCCAGTGCAACTGGGAGCATCCTGCAAAGCCTTAAGAAGGCAGATGCAGGGCTCTCCTGGTTGTTCTGTTCCACTGCAAGCTGCTGGGAGGTCTCCGCTGAAGCGAGACCCCCACAGCCACTCTGCTAAGACCCAGGGATCGCAGGATAATTACCCGCTGAGCACTCTGCATCACCCCAGGGAGATTTAGGATTATTACCCGCTGAGTACTCTGCATTACACCAGGGAGATTGAGGATTATTACCCGCTGAGTACTCTGCATTACACCAGGGATACCAGTACTATTACCCGCTGAACACTCTGCTAATACTCAGGGTTCAGGAGGAGTACCGGCTGTTACACTGACTGATACTGTGGGGCCAGGACTGCCCGTGCTGTTGTGGGCTGGAAATACCCACTGTGTGGATCCTTCCTCTACTGTGTGCTGAGAAGTATCGCTACCGGCTGTTGGCTGCTGTGAGCCAGGAAAAACCCCTACCAGAACTGTGAGTGTCATCTGCCCCTGTTTTCCCCTGTACAGACTGTCCGTGAACTTTCCCCCCTTACCCGTTCCTGCCTGGATTACAATTATTTTGGTCCTTCCATGCTCCTCCCTTGCTCCAGAGACTTGGACGCTACCCTCAGACCCAAATTGAGTGATTGTTATAACTCAATAAAGCTTTGAGTGTTTATTATCTCCTCGGTGTGTTCTGTCCTGCCTACGCTCCATCACAAGGTGTTTAGGTACATCAAGCACTTGGTGTGCTTATTAATTTCTTTGGCCAAAATATTAATTTATTTTGGCCATTGAAATGAAAAAATGTTCAAGCACTAAAAACACCTAGAGTTAACATGCCTTACATGTGTCAGCAATTTTTTTCCTGCCAAAATGCTTCTCTCTTGAATACCTCTAAACGCCCCTGCCTCGAAACTAGATGAAAGCCATCATCCTGTTTCACTTCTTCTGGATGTGCTCTCAAACAAAGCAGCATAAATACCAAAGGACCAGGCTTAGGACCCTCCTTCAATGACAACACTCCCTAAGCACTTTTTGTTTTTGCATAGCGCTCGTACACATTTACACTCCGAGCAGATAAAAAGTTTGTTATTGGCACCACTGGTCATGCTCCAACCCCCTAACGAAACTTGTTGGTAGCGAAACGTGTTGGGAGAGGCCTAGCTAGTGACATCATCTTTGTTCAGAAACTGACATTCTGGAGCCCCTCAACCCGCATCCATGAGAACCCTGTGTGACATTCAATCCTCCTAACACAGTGGCAGGGCATCACACTGTCAATATACACTGCTCAAACAAATTAAAGGAACACTTTGAAAATACATCAAGGGCAATCCCTAGCAAAGGGAAGGAGTAACCAATATCTCAAACATAGGGAAAACTAAAGAATGCAGAAACAACACCAATTAGAGTTAAGGCTACAACCAGGGGCGGACTGACCATTTGGAAACTCGGGCACTGCCCGAGTGCCCGGGGTCAGTAGGGGGCCCCATGAGATGTCCCTGGTACCTTTTTCATAGGCTTTTTTGAGTTTGGGCAAGGACACAGGGGCCCCATGATCCCTATTGCCCGGGGGCCCCATGAGTTGTCAGTCCACCCCTGGCTACAACCCAACTTCCCACTAAATCTGGAGTAGGTAAACTCCAGATGAAGGCAAGGTCTGTACAACTATATAGTTTAAAAATTGCAGGATACAAGTTACTGTAAAATTTGGCCAATAAGCGGCCCGTCTATGGCCTGCCTTAATGTTAAGCAAATTTTATTTGAGTAGAGACAAAGTCCTTATCCTGAGGGCCGTGTTTTGTGTGGGCACGAAAGCCCATTCATTTGAATGGACTCCAGGGAAGAAGTCCCTACACTTCTTGGGAAAACGCAGCCCGCACGGGAACCTCAGTTCCCAGTACAGTTGCGATTTCCAGTGTGGGCGGTGTGCCATTAGAATGAATGGCACCCACCCGTGTGTCCGCATTCCTCTGTGCAGGTGGTGCGGCTACACGGATTTTTGTGCGGATTCGCAGTGGCACCACTCACACAGATGTGAGCCAGGGGTAAGATATGAATAAGGGACAAGGAGAGATGAAGAATTCTATTGCATGCTAAAAGAACAGGAGAGCACAAGAAAGCATGTGTTTTTAAAGTAAAAGAGGTTAATAACCCGACACACACACAGTGAAGTGATTAGCATCAGGTGAAACACAGAGATGAAACAAAACCTCCTATGTAATTTGTACCTGATCATCTGCACTAGACATGTGCAAAATGAAAACATTTGTTTTGTTTTGTTTCGATTCGTTATTTGACTAATTTTCTTTCGTTCGATTAGGTTAAATTCGTTTAATTCAATTTTCGTTTTGTTTCGACCGATTTCGAAATTTCAAACGGATTCGAAAAAAATTCCAACGGATTCTAAAACCATTCTAACGGATTCAATAATAATTCTAACAGATTTGAAGATAATTCTAACGGATTAGATAATAATTTTTGATGGTAAATGGGCTATATGAAGAATTGCATGACCATACTGAAAATGTCAGCAAAAGTTTCATAGTGTCTTTGTTGATCAATACTCACATCACCATAGCGCAGCTCACACTTTTTTGTAAAGTATTTTAGTCTTTTCTAATCTATTCTATTCCTTTCTATTATTTTACATTCTATTCTAATTTATTCTGTTCAGATTAAAATTCATTCTATTCAAAATTCGAATTTTAGAAGGCAGTTATATTCTTTCTATTTTAGTCTATTCTATTATTTTTCTGTACTATTCTATTCTTTGATTCTCTATTCTAATCTTTTCTATTATTTTCTATCTAGTCTTTGATGTTTTATTCCAGTCTAATCTTTTCTATTCTATTTTGATCTAATTGATTCTATTCTATTCCTTTATTTTCTGTTCTGTTTTGCTCTGTTTTATCTATTATTTTCTATTCTATTCTAATCTTTTC